AATATAATAATATATTATTATATATATATATATATATATATATATATATATATAATAAAATTATAAAAAGTTTTTTTGAAATAATAAAAATTAACATACTTTAACATATACTCTTATCCAATCTGGACCCAAATCTTCAAGCATAGGATAAGCTGCAATTTCATCTGCACTTAATCGTTCATGATAAATGAATGAAATTGGGCCTGTATTAAGTAAATTATTTAACCAATTTTTGTGAATAGTTAAACAAATTCTATCATCTATTACTTTTATATATTTTGGCGGCACAAGCAATTCTTTCGTTATTACATCCATTTTATATCTTTATAAATTATATCTATAAAAATAAATTCAAAATATATATTTTTTGTATTAATTATATTGTATTTATATTTAAATAAAAAACAATATAAATATTCTTAACCATTAATGATACAATTTCATATTATATTTATAATATAACAAAAAAGATAGTGTAACAATAGCATTTATCACATATGTTTACTTTTAGTCATTTAATGCCATACACAGTTGATATATAGTAAACGAACAGCTGATTTTAGACGCCATATTTAAATACAATTGTATAATATGAAGCAAATAAAATATATTTGAAAACAAATTCTTTATATAACAATTATATCATAAATTTTAAATATATATTTCATATATTTTTTTATAGTTTATTTATTACTTATTTATTATTTTCCTTTAATATTTAAGATTATCTAAAATTTTTATATACAGTTATATATAATATATATATATGTACAGGATCTATATGGTTAATGATTTTTTTCTGTCATTACTATCTTATTTATCGTACGAATAAAAACATTTCTATTATTTTATTTTTATAAATTCTTTTTTTTTATTAATAATTTTTTTAAATTATATAATAAAATATTGGATATTTCCGTAAAATATTCCAATTTATTGAAAGAGTAGGAAGAAATAGTAAATAAACAATGGGATCGAAGAAAAAATGAAGACAAAGAAAATAAAATACAGGTATTTAAAATACTGTATTGAGAACATTCGTTGTCTTTTTCTTTCTATTTCTAAGTTCATCATTTTTTAATATCTAAATTTTTTTCGTTTTGTATATATATCGCAACTTGTATCTATATATTCCCTCTTTCTGATTTGAACATAAATTTTCTTAATTATTTTTTTATATATAAACAACTAAAAAAATATTATACAATAATCATAAGATAATATATCAATGATTTTGAATCTTAAATGAAATATCATCGATTATTTTCAATCGATGTTCACGATGTTCATTACGAAGTTAGGTTAAGTTATTTATTTTATTATTTTTATTACATACAGTGAGAGATAAAAATTATTTTGAAATATAAACAATTTCGCAAAAGTAAATTATTTTATTATGAATCACTTAATAACATTTGTTATATATTTTTGCTTTTGTGAATTCTGTATCTTCTATTATGAACCTTTTGTAAAAAAAAAACTTATTTATAAAAGAGTCATATATTGATTATCGATTAAACTGTACAGTATTAATACGGGTCGTTGTTTTTCTTTTCTCACTTCTTGCATTTCTTCACATATCTCCTTTATATACTTTTTATGTCTTGGATGTCTAAAACAAAACAAAAAAATTATCAGCAAGAGGTTAAAAATTAATTTTAAATTGTAATTAAAAATTGTTGTACCTTTATATTATAAAATCTATTCAAAAAATCTATTTTTTTACATAAAGACAGTATTTTTTTTTTCTAGAAAAACATTGTTTTTTATTGAATAAAGAAGTTGTCATGTCTGCGAGTAACAAATTGTTAAAACTGATACAAATCATGTTGTTATTATGCATTAAATGAACGCATTTCTATTATATTATATTAAATATGTATATGAATATATCGACGTGGTTTTTAGTTCATATTAGTATTGTGCTATTAAATAGATAATTATAATCTTTTTTACCATACCATATTATTTAATCATTCAATGCGTAAATTGAATATAATGAAATGATTATATATATATATATATATATTATATACATCATTCAAATACAGCAAAATTATATTTTATTTTTTTGTTCCTTTTAAATTTTAAATAATCTTATAAAAATAAAAATATAAATATAGTAAAAATAAAAACTTACTTGTCTATAATAACTTGTATACTTTTTAAAAAATTTTGATCTTCTTCATCAATCTCTAAGAAACTTATTATTATTCTTACAACACTCATTTCTAAAAACACTGCAAATATTTCAATAGGAATTTTATGTGAAATTCTCTGAAAATACGTAGACATCTGTGCAATCATAGAATTTTTCAAACTTCTTCTTGAACTACCAGAAAGTTTATCTCTTTCTGATAAAATAAAATTAATATTAACATTAACTGGATTGTTATTACTTAAAAAATTATCACTTGCTGCAGTTTTGCTTTCAGATCTATTTAAGATGGGTACAGAATTATCTAATCTTTGAAAAAACTCTCCAATTTCTTGATTGCTCATTTTTTTTTCTTGAAATCTATCACGTTCCCAACTTTGAATTCTCACACTTCCTTTTTCTCCACTTTTTAAAAAAATGACATGATTGATAGAATTTTCTCGACAATATTCAAGAATTTCTTCAAGGGAAATCAAATCTAAAATTGTAACTTTAAGTCCAAGATTCCATAATTCTTTTAAAAGATTAATCATCTCTTTTCCGCGATGATGATTGTCCATACAAGAAATAGCAACGTCGATTCCATATTTACATTCTACAGATTCCGAGGTTTCTGAAACTGCAGAAACTAGTTTTTCTAATGAGATACTAATTCCGGCGCCATATTGTTTAATTCTTTACTAGCCATTCCAGTACGTTCAAGAATTTTTTTAAAAGAAGAGAGCATTTTATCGTAACGACCTCCTGCTGCTATTACTTCTTCTCCACTTTTTTTTTACGCCATTTAACTTCGCATGTAATTTGATAAATTATACCGCTATGTTGATTTACATTATGTACTAGAAGAGGTACTACCACTATAGGCCACTGTAAATTTAATTTTATTATATTTTT